AATGAAAAAGGCCCCCTGCGTCGGTGTATGGCCGAAGGCTCACTGCTATGGACTAGCAGGAAGGCAAAACAACTATTTAAAGATCTTCGCTCACATCGTTCCCGAATATGGCACAGAGTCAACCATCGTGGTTTCTGTTTCCCTGCAGACATAAACAATGACACTTACAATTTCCTGCTTGTGCAGCTCTCACACAAACGTCTCTCTATAAGGGAAATGGCTAATTACTTATTAAACCTCGTACTGTGCTTAGACTGGGTTAAATATTGACTGCGAAAGTTCAAGGGGAATCTGTGTCATCAAACGTGAACTTGGGCATCCTATTTTCTAGGAGCTGTTCAAATAAAATGATTAGGTGACAGGACACTGCACGTAGGCAGTGGGGACAAAAAACGGAGCAGATATTGGCTCAGAAGTAAATGCCTGTCTTTGAAGCCTTGGGTTTTCGAACATGATTGCAACTCGTAGCTCAAAGGGGAGTTTTGTTACAAAATAAGTGAATTAAACTGAGATTTGCAGAGTGTCTGGTTTGTTTTGCTGAAAGTCTTGGAGATGGTGGGCAATTTGGCTGGGAAATCCACTGGGCTCGTGAAGCAGGATTTGCATGGTTGGGAAGCAGTTGGAAGGGCAGAGTACAATAGCATTTATGATAAAATCGGGGTAGCTTAACCCCAGAAGCTAATTCAGGGCTGCCTGACTGGATTGTTTCCCAGAGATTATGGGAAGCAAACAGATGCCTTATGTTGGTAGGAATGGTCCCTGTGTGACTTGTGGTGGAGATGCTGTGGGTTTGGGTTAGGTTTGGAGAGAGCAGGTTGGCCCTATGGGGCAGGATTTTCAGTCGGGTTCTGGATCATCCTGACTCCCTCAAGCCAGAGGATTTCTAGCTTTCCTCCAGAATTAGGCAGTTTGTCCTTCCTGGAAACAAGCCTTAAAAAGCCTTTTAATTTCAGAACCTTGAAAATATGTTTAATGCCATTTCTTTTGAAAAAGCAAATTAGGAATGCCATTATTCAGATGGGCTTGCCTTCTTGAATGGGAATGAAAAAGGGAGACTGTGGGGGTACGTGTGCCAACACACCTTTGTTGTACTTTTCTCTAACAAAAATTTTCTAGTTATCCATTGAACTGCATACCTGAACTGCGCCATCAGTATAATTTTAGCCTTAGAGTAGAAATATTAGTCCTCTCTTTTGGCCCATGCTAAGCCCACTGGCAGCACTTAAGAAATAATAAATAATATCTTTCCTTCCACACTAGAAGAGAAACGTTCTAGCATATGAAGTCTGTTTCTTCAAAAGTAATTTGAAGTAATCCTAACTCTCCTCTGCGTTTGCTACCTCAAAACCTAAGGGATGAAGTTACTGTTTTTTGCTGCTGAAAAAATATTCAGCAACACTTGAAATTGAATGTCACCCATGCACATATAATTTAATAAGATGGTAATTTAATGTTAAATAAATAGCAACTGATTATTGAAAACATATGCTCAAAGGATTTAAAAACCATGTAAGAGATACGTATCTCATCTACTGTTGTTGAACTGCAATAAATCTATGCAATAATCAAGTGCCAATTGTTTAACATACAATAACTATTTTATTAAATCTCAGTGAAATGTGTATGCGGGGCACTTAATTAAATGGACCATGTTCCCAAATATTCTATTTTTCTTATTTTTGGAACATCTAGAGTAGAAAATTTACTGGCAGCCTTCACCCAAGGGGCTAGTTATTACTCATGTAAAAATATGGCAAGCACTTCTTGTGCTATCAATAAACATCCATTTCATCAGGAAAGCAGCTCCTGCCACAGAGGTAGGGAAGAAAGAGAAAATATGTCACTTTACTTGCAGTAAAATGAATCCACAAAACTGTTTTCTCCATCACGTTGTTGGGCTCAGCTGTGCAGTCAAAGCCTAGAACTTGCTCCTGCAAGCAGTCTGCTATTCCCAGAGCTAAGCCTGACCAGTCATCGGGGCTGGTCAGCAAATACTTGTGGTGTTTTTGTGTTCCTCTCTAAGAGTCTTTGTTCTACAGAGATGCTGTTGTTTTTTTCTTTAATCTTTTGATTGTTTTTGATAAGCATTGTTTTTGTCTGTGGGCGCCTATGTTTTCAAGCCAAGAAGGACCCATTAGCTCATCTAATCTGATCTCCTCATGTCACATACCAAAGCATTTGGCCCAGTTACCCCTACGCTGACCCCTACTTTACTTGCTAATGCATACCTTTTGGAAATGCAGACCGTTCTGTTTTGAAAATATGAAAAGATGTTGGATTCACCAGTCCTTTGAACTGCTTATTCCAATAGTTAATGGTATACATGGACAAAACATTCATCCTTTCATCTCTGTCAAAAAGCATTTTTATCAGTTCTGCTCTCCACATAATGGCTTCCCACTGTGCCGAGAGCCAAGAGTTCCTCTCTTTGAGGAACACCTACTCATGTTAATTGAAACTCTTGCCATCATTGCTTTGTAAGCCCTTCCCTGTGGGAATTGTTCTTTGGTAGGTTTTTATCCAGCCCCCAGCATAGCGAGGCCTCTATCCATTGATCCATCATTACAGTTTGAATGCCAGCACAGATAATGGTAATAATGATGTGCAGAGAGTGTAAGCGTATAATCCTCATGTTAGTCTTGCAGAGAGGGTTAAACTATTGTAGTAAGGGTTAAACTCCTAATGTAAGCAGGAGTTGTCCAGCCCAGCTTTCTGGCAATGGATATCCCAAGTTAACCAACTCTGGAAGCAAGTTTAAAACCTGGCTTTTAGATGGTCCTTTCCAGCCATCCATGTTCATGCTGAAGCATGGGAGAGGTGAAACAAATCAACTTTGGTGTGAACCATCCTTGTATTAAGGACTCCAGAGGATCAGGTTTTACAGTGATGACTATGATGAAGGCCAAATGTTGCCTCACGTGTTGGTGTAAGAGATTGTGTTCACATGGAACAAGTGGTTTGGTTAGCGGCTGTTGTCCAACTCCATCTCAGTGTCATAATGAAAAATTTCTCTGCTTTGCTGTATTCTCCTAGTAGGATACCCGTTGTCTGTGATACCCCAGTCCCTGATGTTAACTCCTTGCATGCGTTGATGGGTTGTTTGGGTGCTTCATGGTAAATGACTTTGCTAATTTGCTAACACAGCACTTCAAAAGAAATCTTATCTTCATGGAAAGTGAATGTGTTTGGTATTAAATAATAAAATATACATAACCCGTGGGGCTCTTAAGACTTATTTAACTTCTTCATAAACTTTACAATACAGTATGTGGATATTATAAATTACTTTCCATTCCAAGAAACTGTCCGGGCTGGTTGACCTTCCTTGGAATTTCCTCTTTGTAATTATGTTTAATGTGTTAATAAAGTTCACTTTGAACTGTATCATGGCAAATGGTCTCATAGGACGTGGGTCAGTGCTAGTGTGTTCACCATATGTGAAACTTGACATTAGTGTGCAGTTTAGTTGAAGGAATAACAAGGCTAAGTCCAAACAATTGTAGAAGCAGTATCTCCTCCCCAGGTTAGCAGTAAAAGGGGTTCATGGAAAGTTAGGAATGTGGAGTGGGAAATCATTTAGCTTTCACTGCTAGGTGTTACTAAATTATAGCTCTAGGTTCAAGTCACTATCAAAACACCATATATCTAGAGGGTTTTCACACAGAGCTATAAATCATGTTTACTACATGTATGAGTTGAACGAGTGCATGAACTTTGCAATGCAGTCCAGGAAAATATAATTACATGTGTGTGTGGTTTTGACTGTGAGAAATATGGACAGGAAGCTCCAGGCTATTCCACTGTTGTGTCTTAAATACACTTCTAGAAATTGTTTTTGCTGCTTCCCGGAAATAGCTGTTGGCTAAAGCAAAGAGGTCTTCTTGGGTTTTACATAACTCCTTTTGCCAAGAAGTGGCAACCACCAGCCCTTCCAAGGCACTGGGGGGGAGAAGAGGAATGCCTGTAAAGCAGCGTCAGCAGCAGAGGAGCAAGTGGGGCTTTTCTGCGGTATAGGATAGTGGAGAGCAGTATCGCAGGATATAAATTGAAAATTGCCCAGCTGTTCAGTAAGACAGGTGTAGGATCTGTCTTTTATATAATGGAACAGAATGGAGATTCCAGTTGCTTGTATTCGTAAATGAGGCAAATAAATCTGCACACTTGTCTGCATGTATATGAGCAGAAATATTTAAAACAAATGAGGTGATCGCGGCATTTCCTTGTTAATGTTTCACTGGGCTTATATGATCTTGAACAGAAAACTTGGCATCTGGCTGGGATTGTTGGTTTCTTTCTGGGTGTACTTATATGTATTTGCGGATGGGGAAACTACAAGCAAGAAACTAACTTGGTGGAAAATGTAGGGTCTGGATTGTTTAAATTATATTTTAAGCCTGATTGCACCCTGGCCCTTGGAACTCCAGGCATGATCCCTTCTAGTAACTAAAATGATTTGAATGTTATGGGGCAAAGTTATATTTAGTTTGTATTTGGAGAAAGAATAACAACCAGGCGCGGGGGGAGGCAGCTGCATTCTCGTCACTTCTTCCCAAGTCACATCCACGGATGTCAAACCCCACCCTTCCCCCTCGGCCGAAATATTAAGAAATGATTCTCTCAAACTTTGAGAGAGGGTTGAGGACAAGGGGGACTGAAGAAAACCTGCCCCCGCTGGGTTTGTGTCGAGATAGGGTTTAATTTATCGTAATAGCTCCTTCTGTTCGCACAGGCTGTGAAGTCAGCTGCACCCTCTCCAGCGTGGTGTGGCTTAAAAGGCTGTTTCTCAGCAGCGCCCTGTGGCCGTAGAGAGCTGCCTTTGCGTAATGGAAAATTGCAAGAGTGGAAGCAAGAAACGGTGGTTGTTTTCTCTCCCCACCATTCCCCCCTCCCCTCCTGACTATAAAAATGTGTAAAAATCTGTGTCACTAATTTTGGTGGAATATCTACCTGGGGCCTTGGTTTTGGCCCCTTCTCCCATATCTCATGGCAAAATGCTGTAGGAAGTTGTCTCTGTCTCCAGGAGCATCAGAGGTTGCAGATTCTTAGCACTTACAAAGGCTGATTTTTTCAAGAATCACTGCCTAATGGCTAAGAAAGCAGGGGGAGTATGGTGTAGGGACACTTCCCCCAGGATTCATGCCCAGGGCCAGAGAGCACTGCTCTCTTCTGCTCTGTCTTGAAAGGATCCAGTCTGGAGCTGTGGCCCATGGGTGCAAGCACATGGCAATTCATGGAATCCCCCCCATAGCCAGAAAGGTGGTATATATCAGCATTAAAAAATTTGTGTTGATAGATATATGAATTCACAATTTTAACAATCTGGTATAACAAAATTATGTCAGGTTTCAAAACAATCCCTTATGGTGTTGCTATCCAGCTCTTGTGGTGTTGCCCTAATGCACAACCCACAAACAAGGCAAGATCAGCAGCACAGCAAGGAGCTATAGGGTATTGCTCTCAAAATACGTTAGATCATTTCTGTTAACATACAGCACAAAGCTGGAGTCTAGGACGGCCGAGATCGTGACACTGGCTGCTTGAGGAGTAATTGTGTCTGCTTTTTAATGCTGCATTAGAGCACAGGACAGAAGCCAGCAGTGGCAAGGGATGGGAAGCCAGCAGCAGCCAGGGTTCAGCCTGTTTTTACCTCGCTGGCAGCTGTAGATGAAGCAGCAGGTGCTTTCGTGGGATTTTGCCTTTCTAAACAGCTGTAGAAATGTACCCAGCCTGCAGGGCCCCGGGCTGTGCCCTGGGCTCTGCTCCCGTGCCGCAACACTCAGCTGTGAGCGCACACGTGCCCCAGCCCCGCAGGAGGCAGCCGCCAAGGGACACCCCCAAATCAACGCCTTGGGAGAGCTGGCAGCTATTGGGTACTCTGCTCTCATGGCCACCCCACTGGCATGTTACGGGTCAGTTCTGCAAGGTGGGGAGCTCCCTTCAGTACCAGTGGTGCACATGAGAAATTGGGGTGCTCGGCATCTTTTTACTACAACTTTTTGTTCTGTTCATGTAGTAGAAGATAGAACTGCCATAGAGAAGCCCTGGCAATTAAACTCCAGAGGAACCTGAGGGGTTCTGGGCAGCTTAATGCATAGATTCAGAGGGCGAATACGTTTCTATCTGGATAGTGTGGGATTTCCGCGGTGTGCCATGCAAGGCAGCTCTGTGTCAGCAGCACCCACTGCACAGGGGATGTTGCCGAAGGGCCTTTTTGCAAAACACACTTCCCCCTCTCCACCGCCTCCCCTCCAAATACTGACAGCGCGGAGTGGCGAGATGTGCCAAAGTGTATCTTGACTTGAAAAGCACTCATCCGTCACTGTTGCAGTCCCAAGGCAGGGCTGTACAGATATGTAGTGAAATAAGACCCAGTGGATGCCTGTACATTAGAAAGAGAGACAGAGATCCGTGATGATATCAACATTTTATTCTTGCTGTAGCCATCTACAGGAGGTCCAGCTATCGTTGGCTTGCCAGGGCCTCTGAAGCCTCTGGCTTATGCGAAGGCACTGATTCCAGAGAGAGTAGTGCTTGCACAGAAAGTTATTAACGCAAAGATGATAGGTAATAAAATGGGAATATTTACAGCACCAAATGAACAGAAGCAAGGTTTTAACATCTATGTCCTGAGGCTGTACCTCATTGAGAAGTGCATGCAGCTGTATCCGGCAAAATTCAGAGCAGGAAAAAGAGCGAGGGGAAGTCTTTATTCCTCATCCCAAGAAAGTCACTGGAGGGGCTAATGAAGGGCTGCAGAGGACCATGCTAGTGTTTTTCTTCTCAGGCAGAAAGGCTTCAAGAAACGCACCCTTTTCTAAATGTCATAAAGGTCTGCGAATAGATCCTGTGACAGAGAGCGATCCAGCAATTCCTCAGAACGAAAGGTCAATCAAAGGAAAATGGCATTTAGGAGGACCAAGCTTACCGCTGACCCAAACATGTGACCGATCCAGAGGCAACTCTGGTGCCATCAGGAGAGCCGCTTCTGCAGCCTGCCCCAACGAGGCACATGACGTGATTGGGAAACTATCTGATTCCTCCAGGTCTCAAAATTCATCAGGAGTCAACCTGAATGTCGGAAGGAAAGGGATTTTGAAGGAGCTACAGCAAGTTTCCAAGTTGGGAGGAGGGTGCTCTCTCTCCACTGTCCCTGCTTGCCCTGCACCAAACATTTTTCCCCAGCACTAATTATAGATCTGTTTTTGCCATTTGAATATGCATGGAGTAGTATCCTGGCTCACAAGTAGATTGCAATGAAGCTACTCTTAAAGTTTGACATGGTCTGGTAGGGCTTTAGGTCAGAAAGGACCTCTCCAAGGGCCAACCCAGAATTTCAACAAGGCCGTGGACTTGTCTGGACATTTCTGCTCCTTTGCGCTGAGTGAGATGCTGCACTATGTAGGAAGAAGTAGCAGAATTTGGGGCTGGATCCTCACCTGGTGTTGGTGAATTCTGCTTTATCAAAGCAAACACACACAACCCCTCCTGATGGGTGGATTTCCTCTTTAAAAGATTCAGCAACGTGACTGGTGTCAGATCAGCATTCAAAGGATCTTGGGGTTGTCTCTCCATCCATAGAGCTGGCTGGAGATCTCCCAAGGTGAAGAACATTAACAATGTGGTTTGCAGTGCTTAGAAATATCTGGACAGGCAAGATTTCTCATGGTGTTTTGCCAGTTCCCTTGGAGTCTGCGAGGGCACCATCACCCTTGAGACGCTGTCCCACAGGTGTCTGCAGAAGCTGTGCAGGGGTGGGTGTTATCTTTGCCAGGGACTGACTTTTTCAGAATAAGTGCTCTCAAGATCCCTACTTTGGGTCTTCAGCAGTTCATCAGAATCTGAGTGTGTCTAAGACCCACTGGTTTAACCAAGCTCTTAGTTTAACTAATTAATGAGTTTCAAGCTAGTTCATGACTCTTTTCTCAGCTTGAGCAGCACTTCTGTTCACCAGCAAAGCTGCAAAATTAATGGGTGTGATTCAACATGAGTAACTGTGACAGCAGCTCTGTAGTCATTCATGAGCTGAACTGTATGTACTGCCTTAGTCATGCTAGGGAAAATTCAGGCAGACATTTGAATAATAGGAATTAGTCATGAGGAAGTGCAAATATGAGCTCTGTAGCTTATCCCATGTGGGTCCAATCCTGCAGAACACTAAGAACAGGAATAAAATATGAGGGAACAGTTCCAAATCCCACAAACATCTTGTGGGTTTTGGGTGCAACTCAGCATCAGCAATCCTTAGCAAAACATTTTGTCCTTATGCAAGAGCTGGGCACTTATTATCACGCCCATTAATAGACTATTCTGGGAAGAGCATTGCTATTGCCGTTCGTGTGGGGAACTTGTGCAATTAATGAAAAGGCAGAAAAGGCAGATGCAGGAAAAAGACTCTCTGCTTCAACTTTTCAGAGCCTTGGGAAGAAATTTCAGTTCGAATTCAGCTATGGGACTATTCCACTGTTGGAGTCTTTATCACTTCTTTTTTCTGAGTGTTGGCGTGTCCAAGTGCATCCTGTTATCATGAGGCAAACAGTGTGTTCACTCTGTGGCATTCCAGGGACACTCTGTTTTGCATGAAATTATCACCTTTTACAAAGAACAAATATTTGTCAGTCAGGTCAAACCAGAAGGGTTGCCAAGGCAATTTATAAAAATTTCTTCTTTTGGATTATAGGCAATGTTAACTTGTCAAGCTATGTTGTATCTTTAGGTGAAGCGCTACCCAATGAATGCTTTATGTCCGACAACTGCAGGCTTATGCGTCTCAGATAAAGCCCATCTGGTGACTATTAAGGGGAATTACTGTACATACAACATGAAAGGGTTATAACATTTGCGGGGGGGCAGTGTTTTGTTTTAAGTTCCAGTGCTGTTACTAATTTTGCCCTCAGGATAGGTGTTAAATTTAAAACAACTACAGTTGCTTTACCAAATACAGCTGAATAGTTTGTGTATTGGACTCCTCCTTGCTATAAGAAAATGAGGGTGCTTTGGAAAAGCAAAAGAGACTCCAAACCAGGCTTCCCTGGTAGGTTAGCATGAGCTGCTGATGATGGCAAGGCTACAGCTTCAGGTCTTGCACAACATGTTGTCAACTCTGTATTTGCTAGCATTTTTAGCCTTGGTTGTAAGTGATTTTTGGTAAGCACTTTTTACTATATCTCTGTATAGCAGTCAGCGTAATGCCCTGATTGATGACTGGGATTTAATTCAGTGCTATATCACTGGCAATAGCAATAACAGCTCTTCCTCTCTCTGTTCTTTCTTAGGTCCTCCAAGGATTGCCGATAAAGTGATTCACCGTCAGTCCGTGAGGCTAGGGAGGACTATCAAGCTCCTGTGCCCAGTGGAGGGTGACCCCCCGCCTCTCACCATGTGGATGAAGGATGGACGCACTATCCACAGCGGCTGGACGAGGTTCCGAATCCTTCAGCAAGGGCTGAAAATCAAGGAGGTGGAAAGCGAAGATGCGGGAACCTACATTTGCAAAGCCACCAATGGCTTCGGCAGCACCAATGTGAACTACACCCTCATCGTGATCGGTGAGTAGGGCTGGAGAAAAGCCAGGCCTCACCTGCTTTGGGGGGAGAGAGCGAGCTGATTTCTGTGTAGCTGTCAATGATTGCAGATTTGCTTTGCTAATCATTTACTGACCTCCACTCTTAACTGGCCCTTTCCAGTGTTTGAGGATTGCCAGAACTGGCTGTGTTGCTGCACATCTTCTGCTGCAGCCAGCTGCAAGCAGATAAGATTATGCAGTGCCAAAGGTTACAAATAAACAGAAATGATGCAATAGTCACTAGGGTCCAGATCACAATGAATTCCACACAGGAAAGGCTGTGCGATAAGGAGAGGTCACACTGATCTTTATGTTTGCTCTTGGAACAGGATACTTCTCAAAGCAAATGGTAAGGCAGCCATATAAAAATGCACAGCTGGAAGATCCATGTACTGAGCTTTTGCAAAGCATGGTGTCTTCAGGAATAATAATATTTAGATTGAAACAAAGCTCAGCTGGCATATGACCCAGGGATGCTCAATTCCTGAGAAATCCCCTTGCTGAAGGCATTATTAAAAAAGCTTCAGATGCCATCTTGGTGACCATGGGTTCTCTGGCTGTGCGTTTGACCAGCTTCAAAGGGCTTGTTTGGCCTGGCCATGGGATTTTGGGGGTCACATGCTGGGCTGAGCATTCCTGAAGGCTCCCAAAGACACTTCTCTGGGTAATCAGAGATTCCTCTGCTGTGGCTGCCGCAGAAACATGCTTATTGCTCCTTGTCTGTGAGGAGGGAAAGCGCTGGATGAAATTTGTCATGCTG